TTACACCTGTGCTTGCCTGCACATAGCCAGTGTCAGTGAACTCAGGGTGAATTTCACACTGCCATCTAGCGATTAATGTCCACTTTCCCTGCTGGCTGCAGCAGAAAAATGATACAGCAAAGATTTTAATTCCCCAAGGCTGAAATCTTAGGTAGGCTTATATCCCATGGCTTCTTGAAGAACAATGATGGGTGGCACATGTAATAAAGCACAGAGTCCTAGGTGCAAGGAGCTTGCATAGGACAGCTGATGTAGACATCTAGACATCCTGAGGTGGGGTTCCTAGCGAAATTTGGTGAAGCTTCTATTAGCTCTTCCTGCCAAGTACTTACAGAAAGCTAAATAAGTGCATGCACCCTCAATTTTGGCAGTCTTGTCCTGAATGTTCATATGCAGACACTTGTGTGCCTCTTTACATACTATGATGCTTTTTTTTTTCCTTTTCTGCAAATTCAGGGCCCACCCTAGCAGCAGAAGGTAAGGTATTCTTTGTAGAGCAGGCACAGGGAGGCCCAGAACTTGTAAACGTGTGCCTTTCCTAACAGTGTCAACAGCATCACTTCTGGTCCAGGAATAAGCTCTTAATTTTCCAGAGGGTGTATGTTTTAAGCCAAGTGATGCATTAAGATAAAAGGATGCTGAGCAGAGCAGGGATGAATAGAGAAAATAACTGTGTCACTTTCACACTGTGACTTCTGCTAGGTACAGATCATCCCTATTTGAACACTTAAGCATTGGATTACAGTGGAGAAAAACAAATGATTGTCTACTTTAGACATTTCTGTTCTCTGCTTCAGATTTCATCCACTGTTCACTTATATTGAGTAGGCACCCACAGAGAGTGTACTCACATAAATGTACACAGTGTACTTTAAAATGACAATGTTATTCATGACCAGACAGATCAGTCCAGACTGCCAGGGATTCTGGAAAGGACCTGTTATAGGAGAAAAATAATGTACTTTTTACATGCAAATGTGATTTTTTTACGCTTTGCTGTTAGAATGTATTGTACCAACAGCCTGACAGTTCAGACTTAAAGGGAGAGAAAATGTTTTCAACTTGAGGTATTTAATAAGAGATGGTTATTTACAAGGAAAAACTAAATATTGAAGGATGTTTGATACTGGTGGACTATAAGTAAAATGCCATACTGCCACATTAAAAGGCTTACTGAAACTCAGCCAAACATCGTTTTACCCAAGTTTTCCTAATCAGTCCGCCTTAAGCAGAAGATACACTAGGGAAGCGTGCTGCCAACCCAAAAGCCACAGGGGTAGTCACCAACTAAAACCAGAATTAGAAAGTACAAAGAAACACACACCTTATCCCACAATGACCATAATGTGCAGAAGGCACTGATGTTCAGAAAAGGGCATGAGCTAGGCTGAGCAGCATTTTTCACATTCTTGCATCCACCATGCCATATCTGGGACATCTGAGACATGTGAGTCAAGGTGTTAATATTCTCTCTCCATTCATGTGCACAGGGTAAGAAAACCACAGCTGCAGTGTCTCCCCTGCCCATTTTGAACTTGCACATAGGCAAATCTACCAGCATCTGCAAAGCCTTCGTGTAATCCCATAAGGGATGACTCCACACCATCATGTAATGTTGTTCCCTTACCCCTTTGTTCTAGAAGCCACAGGAGGCTTAAGGCATTTTGTGCTCACGTAGGGGCCCATCCCTCCATAAGCCCCTTGTCACCACTGCACTGTGTGAATCGCCTGCTAGCACTTGGAAAAAAGTGTTTCGCACGGCAGGAGCGATTAGAAACCTCACTTCTTCCCTGCTGGAGGATTCTGGTCCCACAGAAGGTCCAGCCGAACAGCACACTCCTAATCTGCCTCAGCACAGCCAGACAGCAACTGATAGAAGCATTTTGTGCTAGCTGAGGTGGTTTTGTACTGAATAGATTAGCAAGGACTTGCACGCTGTTTTGTCAGCCAAGTTGCAGAGACAACAAGGTAGAAGTCAGTAACAGCTTACACAGACAGACGCACACAGCTAGACCAACGCAAGAACATCAGCCTCTGATAAAAGCAGGCATAAGGAATTATTTCACATGCTTTAATAATTCTCCAAACTTCACTGAATGTTCCAATTACACTGATTTACAAGGGACAGTTGTACCATTCCAGCACAGCTCTTCAGTAATAAAATTGTACGCAAGAGTCACATCACTACACACAATCAGTAACGAGTAGGTTTTCTTGTACAGATGAACCCTTAGGACAAATGAGTTGGGTTTATCTCCCGATTATAGGTAGTCAGTGCCAATGCCTATAGGTTAAAATTCATCTAACAATTCCTACTATAAGATCCTTTTCTCTATAGCTCATACATTTTGTCAAGCTCCCACTTCCATGAGAAAGATTCTGCCTCAGACACATTTTTAAAATTAAAGGCTTGGTAGCTGCAGTTGCAACCTTGCTGGGCATGCTGCCATTTTCCAAGCTCTGACAGCTCAGTACTTCTGAATATGGTTGACTACCACAGAATTGAGGTGCCTTTTGAAGAGAATTCTAGCGCTTCCTTGCAATCTGACTTACAGTAAACACAAACATCTGAAAGAAAAACTGAACACTTCTGTTGAAATGTGACTTTTTTTTTTTTTTTAACCGGACTCTAGTCTCCAGCATGTTTTTTCTTAGGATTTGCATTATTTGTTTGGTCACACATTTGTTTTACATGAGATGAGGTATTTTTCTGTTAAAGTACGTATCTAGTTATTCCTTCACTGGTAAACTTAGCTCAGAAATGGCATTATCTTTGCAAGTATCACTATGCTTGTATAACCAGTATAAAACCCTACTATCTGTGTCAGTAGATTACCAATTACTTCTAGACATCGTTTCAAGGATGAGAAGGCCATAAGTTGACCACATGTAAGAAAATAGTCTAACAGTCCCGTCAGAGGGTCCCATCATTCTTGACACAGAAGCAAAACAGGGCAAAATCTAAAATCTTCCCTCACACCACAAGTGACTAAGAGATCACGTCCCAAAATACACTGTCCCAGTGGACACTGTTCCTCATCTTACCTTGGACTGAGCTATTTTCTCTGAAATTCATGCCAGTGTCTATAAAGAATACCCTGCCTCATTCCAAGTGCCCTCTGAATTTTGTTTATGAAAGATACAGGAACTTAGTAACACCCTAAGAAGAGGCAAAATTCTGTTCCCTCTTCACTGATGATGTTTAAGGATTGCATTTGCTTGTTGCATCTCTCTGAGCTTTCTTGACTGGTAGTGGCAAATACATTACTTTGCCCTGAAGACCTTGAACATCCTGTCTGATTAGTACTCCACATTTAGTGTAGTTTCAGTTAGGAACATGGGGGTAAAAACATACACTTTTTGTTCTATGCTGGAGCTTCAACTGTGGTAAAAAAAAAAGGCAAAAAAAAAAGGAAGGTAACAAATCTCTAAAAGTTTGAAGTTCATGTCCATTTTAAATGTTCACGTATCACTATAAACATGTTTTCTCTACTGTTGGGAAAGCAGCACAAACATTAAAAAAAAAATGTAGCTTTCATATACTAATTCTACTCCCCATGAGTTGTTTTAAATTTAAAGAATGCATTTAATTAACATATTTCAAGCATTTAAAATAATCTCCACTGTGGTTTAATTACAGCAGCAGCTTTTAATGTTTAGTATCAGAAACACTGTTCATATTATGGAATAAATACTGGTATTTATTTGTTCTCTTTATGATCATCTCCAAGAAAATATTTCATATCAAACAAGCACTCCACGCTAAAAAACACAGTTTGCAATAGCCATTTACTGAAAACAGGGCAGATGCAGCAGTTTTCTTGTACAAGTACACACATCTTTTGCAGTTCTGTACTGCAGGTGCCTTTTATCTTTCATAAAGTGGAGGAAAAATACTTCTTGGCTGAATATATGCATGGAGATGATATGAAAAGCCTATAGAAGCAACAAGGTTAAGACATTTAATGAGAATAGGTCCCCAATAAAACCATTCCTTCCCCTCCAGTTCAGTGAAGATACATAACCTAACCAGTTAGTTGTAATCTCTTCTGATGTATAATTTCAGTTGGGTCTGGTTACAAAGGGTGAAGAAAAAAAAGAATTTCAGATTTTCAGCTGTCTGAACAGAATTAAAAAAAAAACCTAAGGAGATTTCCAGGGTCCTCAAAGCATTTTTCTTGACTGTGCATATAAGAATTCAAGGCTCCACTGAATATGTCAAGTGTATGGAATGTTTCTGGGATGAGAATACTCCAGTGCAAAAGACACCTCAATGCCATAGAATCCAATATCCCTAAAAGCGGGTATTTTATCTCTATTAGCATCTGAGAAGAACTGACTATCCACATCTAAAGACCAAAAGAAACAAACTAGAAAATTTCAAATACTTTTAAGTTATCCATTTTTATTAAAAAATGACACTTGGGTGTTAGTTGCATACAATAGCATGTGCTGTCAAGTGTTGCATAGCTGCTCGCACATCAGGCAACAACTGCAGCACCTGCTTGCACTAACCAGAAGTAGGTTACTTCATATCCACTGCAGCTAAGGTACCTGCAGTCATTACTGCAGCATGTGATGTGGCTGTGTTAGGAACCATGAGTGGATAAGCCAGGGCATGAGAAATTGGTTTAGTGCCTTATAAATAGCAGGCACAGCTTTATGTATTTATTATTAGGAAAAAAACCCTTTATTTGGTACATTTCAATAATTAAGCCTTAATACATTTCTTGACTGCACCTAGAGCTATCACCAGTAGCCGCAGCTACCCAAGACTATACAGCACTCTACACTCCTCTTTCATTCCAATACCTCTTCACCAGGAGAATACTACACTCGATTAAACTAGTTGATGACCCTACTTAGTACTGCTTTACTAGCTGTTCTAGCTTGAGCGCTTAGCACTGTTTTCTTCCATGTTCAGTTACTCCTGCTTGTCTGTCAGTGTGCTCTGTTCAGTGCCTGAGCTGTGCTTGTTCTTAAGGGATCTTCCAACATACCTCCAGTATTCTTTTCGGATGGTGTCTTTTTCTTTAGCCAGAATTTCACACAGCTATGAAAGAAAATTGAGATTGGAGTGTTATACCAAAAGCTTATGGAATCCTTAATTATCTTTATAAAATGCATACAATATATGGTTCAGCCAGTATTAGAAACACCTTTCTTAGAAACATTTGTTTTATTCACCAGATTTGCAACTGTCCAATGACCTCAAACTGATGTCAACTCCAATTGGTAGTCAACCAATCTGACACTGCACAAAAATCTCTCCAGTCCTATTTCAGTTGCAACTGCTTCCCTGTGACTTTCTGTTCCTACCACTCATCATCTACCACAGCCTATTCAGTCTGTAGCATACTGCAGTGTAATTGTGACTTCCTGACAAGCTTGACTGTCTTTGTGATCCAGTAGGCTGTAAACCACTTCTTTCAAAACACTGGGGGAACATCCTGCTCTTGCATCTTCAGTACTCCTGATGGACTGACAGGAGATATTTTGCTTACGTTTTTTCTCTTGGCAGACTGTCCCAGAAGGACTCTTTATGCAAGCCAGTAACCTTCTCTCACAACACGTTAAGAGCTGGTGCTATACAGTACTTCTGCATGTTCTATTCTTATATTATTTTGATCTGGGTGAGCAGTGAGGCACAGCAGAAGTCAACCCTACTTGCAGGATATGCTGTGTAAAATTTATATGGTATGAACACTGTCTACAAATGTCGTAGTCAATTTCCTTTTATTATGCAGATGACATTGCCTTTCTCAGTGAACCAGAGTTGAGAACAGGAGCTTCGATGCCTAAATAGGTGAAGAAGTCAAACTCAGTGAAATAGTATAAAGGGACATGAATCTGGGAGGTAAAGCTGCACTGGTCCTGGAACACAACAAAGGGAAAATGTTGAGAAAGAACGATGTTGGAACACAGAGACTCCAGGCAAGAACTGCAGCTCTAATTACACTGAGTTCCAGTCTGCCCCACAGTGAATGAAAAGTGTTCTTGTAAAAACTACACTGCAAACCACAGCAAGTTCCCTGAATATGAAACACAGGGAGATACTCAACATTGCCAGAAGCAATTTATTCTCTGTAGGAAATGGTGCCTGACATTCCTTACTGACGTCCCCAGTGCCTGCTGGCCTTTAAGCTAATTCTGCCAGCTTTCTTGGAAAGAGCTAAGAAGTGCAAAGGGAGCTTGAGATTCTGTTTAGATATAGATACTCTGAGAAGAAGATTCACTAACCTACAGAGAAGAAAGTGAGCTCATGCTACAAAGTCAGCACTGGGAACTCCTCAATTGTACAAAGATCAATCCCATTTTGTTGGGATATAAAAAAGAGAGCAATAGATGGCATCCCTGAGAAGCAAAACCAAGCTCTCAAAACATACCTCCAATGCCTTGTTTAGTGTTTCCTCCTTGTTATCACACTGGTTTTCAAGCATATCTTCATACATGTCCACAAGAAAGGCAATCAGATAGGGTGAGCTGTGGCTGGGCTGTAAATCCAACAGTTGCTCTAACAGATTTGGATACTCAGAAAGACCACGATCCTGTAGAATCCTAGAACAGAGGTTAATAGGCTTGAAACATAATGCTGAGATACTTGATGTGAAGAACTAAATTTTTGTTACAACTTCTTTATTTGGAAATCAAGTTTTGAAATAAGGGTGCAAATACAAGTAAGGCAGAAAGTAAGCAGAATGCAGCAATGATACAGCTTCATGTTGTAGTAAGCTGCTATAGTTATGCTCAACTGAACAGAAATTAGCCTGAAAGCATGCTCATTACTTCCTACTCTATGGTCTTGAACCCAGTAACATTACAGGTTAAGTTTTTAAAAGCCTGAGAAGTACTTGCAATCCTCCTCAAGAACTACAGAGCCAGAAACTTAGTTGAAAGTTACAGAGAAATTAGGTTAATATATTAACCCCTTGTGGAGGTTTTTGCCTGCCTGCTTAAGTACACCACACTAGAATGAACAGCAAAAAGCTCTTTCCAGTTAAGAGCTAGGCATAAGACACCTTCTACAGATATTCTCTTTGCTCCACAGAGAAGGATGCCTCACCCTTTTAAATAGTTCCAAGCGCTCTCATTATGTGGCACTGCTGTGATCATCTCAAGAGTGTAGCTGTAAGAAAGATAACAGATCATGAATATAACCACTAACAGCGCAGTTAGAAATTACTGGAATGTGCTCAGACGCTCCCAAATACATCCCTCTAGTCTGTATTTCAGTCTTTTTGTGGATCATCTCAGCTGGGTCACAGATCAAAAATGTCTCACAATATAGTCTCGGAGAGGCAGACATTGTGAGAACTGTTTTAAATTCTGCAATGTTCCATTTGCTGTGTTTTATACAATAATGAAACAGTTCTCAAAATTATGAGCAGTAACACTAAGAAACAACACGGTATACTTTCCTGGTATGCTAAAGAAATAACTTGTGTCTTGATGCTCAGAAATGGCAAGGGGCTGAAATGTTCTGGAGTAATCAAAGACCAGGATGAGCTATGTTAATATGAGTGCATGTGGTATGTTCTGTACCTATTTGCAGAACTTTCTTCATGAGGCTGCACTTGAGCAAACCCACAGAAAGGCCTGAGCTTTCAGCTCATGCAGCCTTCTGCAGCAGTTCTTTTAAAGTAGCGGTTAGGCAACTCCTCTAAAGGCAAAGCAACAAGAAGCACCTGCCATGTAGTCACAAAGCCACATTTCATCTTCATAAAACAGACTTTACCTTCTGCCCTTCCCCAACATAACCAGGCATTCAGCTGATTTTCAGAGACAGCAGATAATGATAAAAAGTTCTATAAGCAGTACGGGAAAAAAAAAACCAACCCTAAACCTTTTTTAACCTTCTGCAGTCACTATGACAAAGACCGAATTTTATAAAGCAACAAGCAACCCAAGTACAGTTCTATAATGACATCTGGGAAGCCTTAACCTTAGACAGTCCAATTCTTAAGACGGTATCCAATTATCTTGAACATAGTACCACGTATAAACAGATCAAGGGAGTATGTCAGATCTAACCTTTGGAGAGAAAAGCTGGAAATATCCAAGCCTAAGTCATGGAAATGGTTCAGATTTATTAATCTGCAGTAAAGTTATAAACTGGAAGAGAAGTACAACTACGGCAGTTTGCAAAGACAACTGTGAAAGGTTGTGGGGGCTGGGATCCTCTACGAACAAAGTACCAATGGACCTATTCAGAGACTCAGTCTTTCGTCTGAAGAGTAACTCAAAAAAACTGCAGTACCTTCTTTTCATTGCTTCTTCACTTCACATCACATCTTCTCATAACCATCAACCCTGATAAGCAGTCTGAGATGCAAAGACCATACAGTGAAGCTTCCCTTACCACCATCAGTAGTAAAATAACTGCCTAGAAGCCCAGTCTGTCTCCAGTTACAAACATACCACTTTTGAAAGAGTTTCCAAAGCTCATTTTCCTCAAAAATAGCCAACTCACACAGGTAGTTGTATTTGTGCTGACCACATACCCTTGAAAGCTCCTTTCTTTTTCCAGCTGCATCAAATTCCTCACAAAAGGCAATTCTTCCTACAATCCACGTCATCTTTAAATCATTGTGGCTACTGTACTACTAAATAGCAGTTTAGTACAATATTGCAAGTGCCTCTCCTTCCAAGCTTTCTAGGGGTAAGATGTAAGATATTAATGAACAGCACAACTTATGTGGTTCCAGTGTCACAGATTTTCTGCAGGTTGTTCCACTATAGCTAGCTGACTATAAAAAGCCAAAATTTTTGTTTGCACAATAAACAGCAGGGTGGGAAGACAGATTCATGAGAATAGCTTGCCCAGGGTAAGCTTAGCTTACGCCAGTACTACTCAACAAGTCAGTGGTACTGAACACATCTATATATGCACTAACACTTGATCTGCTATCCATGAGAGTAAGCCCAAAAACCGCATTAAAAACATAGAAGACAAGCCCACAGGGACTGTCAAAATATTCCTTTGCTTTCACATAAGGGAGAATGCTTAATGTGAGCATGAACAGCATTACTAACTGGACTTCTCTGTCTAGGACTGCTGGATCATCATAGCCAGTGGTGTTGAAAATTACGAAGTGTCGCTGGTTCCAAACAGAGTTGTTTCTCACATCCTCCCTCAAAAGCTGGTCTACGTATTCCAGTTCATTGTCCCATAACTTGAACTCCTATGGAAAGGGAAGGAAGAGACAATATCACAATCAAAAGTTTTTATTTTTTAAAATATATTTTCCTTGCTCTTAAGTTCTCTGAACATTAGATACAGAGACTTTTTTACAGAGAGCAACACAAAGTTCAAAGAAAAATAAGGAAGGGTGCAAAAAGAACACGCTACACTATTCAGTTGCACACAATGGTATTAGCTCATCATTAAATTCACACACATAACAGTAAGCAGCCAACAATAGACCTTTTTGAATTCACTTCCTAAAAGGCAAGTTTATAACTAACCTCTACCACACATTAAAATGCAATTGGTTCTCTCACTTCAGCTTTAAGAAACAAAGTGCCAAATGCAATTCAGATTGTATTTAAGAAGCAAAACTCTACAACCTGAGCAGGTTATTTAGTGAATCAAGAGTTCTGTGGATACAATACCTGAATAACCCATTGTCTGTGTTGCCATGCATGGTAATTTTTGGCATCTTGGTTAAGAATGTCAGCTATGAACTCAAGCTCTTGGGATGGATCCTGCAGCCACTCCACCAACACCCGTCTGTGATGCCTAATAAGAAGAGAAGGAAACTATTTTTAGAACAGTCTAAAAATTCTTTGTGAATATGTGGTCTGTATTAAAACAGCATATAGCAACCGCACTACTTAGAAAAAAAACACTAGTTAAATACTTCAAATTAAATGTACCAAAACATTTCACTTGGCTCTGAGAAATATATGATACTCTTAACAAATTCTAAGTACACGTACATATTAGCCAATTGCCTCCATTTAGACAAGTTATGTTTACTTGAAGTGACACATTTCCACTTTTAACACTCATGTCCGAAGTCTTCAGCAGAATAAAATTTTCTAGTACTACATAATTTCTCTAGCAATAACAGCACTGCTGTTTTGCCTATTCCCATTCACTTGCGAAAAACGCAACAATAGGTAAGCAAGCTCCAAAGCCAATAAAAGAAAAAACATTCATTTCTATTTGTCTTTTTTGTTTGCCTTTCCATGAGTCACTTTTTTGACCTGTCACACTTATTTTAACAGTTTAAAAATTGAAATAGAAAAAAAACCCAAGACCATTTTAGCATGTCATAATCATATGTTTAGAACAAACTGCCAGAAGGGACTTTGGCAGTGATACTGTTGCAACTTCATTTAACTCCTTCACTACTGCCACTGCACTAGATGCAGGAAGCAACTCTTAACAATTTTTAGGATCAATGATAACAACTTATTCTAGACAGTTTACAAAACAAAAATTATCTGAAAAAATGTTAAGAACTGAGAAGAAACCAGGATTTTACCAGACTTGGTAGTTCTTTGGCTGGTCTTCAATGATAGCTGTAATATACTTAAGTTCCTCATGGAGATCCTTTCCCAAAGACTGGAGGAGGACTCTCCGGAAATGCCTGTATAAAAAAGTCAAGCATTCAAACATTGCAACAGGGCTTTCCTAAAATTCACAGAGGAGAACATAAAAGAATCTTTGTTCATACTTCTACTAACAGATATTGAGTTAAAGAGTGCAAAAAATTAAACCATGTATCCAGTTCTGTTAAAGGCCATTCAGTTATAGAACAGTAGAGAACTGGATTACAACTGGTTACAACAGTATGTTATCCAAGATCACAGCAATCCGGTTTCAAATTAACCTATCTACCCACACTAGTCTTACCATCACAGAAACTATGACTTAGTGCTTAAAAATAATGTAAATTTTCTGACTTTATGCAAGTTAGTGGAATAAAGATGTACAAGAGGTACTTGTTAGCACTCACGAGTTAAAAGCCCCTACTCTGAATATCAGAGTTTATTCATTACCTAACTGAACATTATCCTGACAGATCCTCTAAAATACACTACTTAGTAATTATTTAGCAGGAAATAGCAGCTATCATGCTTTTATGCCTCTTCTTGAGGACAGCTGAGGGCACCAGCATTTTGCCAAGGCCACGTGTTACGGGTTTGTGTGGCGCGGGTTTTTTGGTAGCAGGGGAGGGGGCTGCAGGGGTGGCTCCTGTGAGAAGCTGCTAGAAGCTCCCCCGGCTCCAAGTCGGACCCAACTCTGCCCCAGGCCGATCCAATCAGCAACGGTGGCAGCACCTCTGGGAGAACAGATTTCAGAAGGGGAAC